CTGCTGAAGTTTTATGCCCTCAAAACAGGAGCCTCTTCTTGGGAAATGTTGGTGCTGATCCTTTAATTTTTTTACCGCTTGTAGCTCACTTCTAGTTTTTGTTTTGTTTTGAGGGCTTTTTTTGGTGTCTAAAGCATGTATCCAAATGTATTGTTGCAGACCAGTAGGTAAGTAGAAAAGGGGATTAAACAGACCAATGATCTGTCTAAAATTATTCTAACTGGAAAGAAGTCACTTCGGAGATGAAAGCAACTACATTTCTGTAATTGTCAGCTTCTTGAAAAGAAAGCAAGCTGTTTTGGAGGGATTTTCAGACCTCGTAATTGCTGCAGGTCATATTATAGCTGTCAATAACGCTATGAAGAAAAGTAAAAAGTATAGATGCTCCTCCCTCCCCTTCCATCCCAATTATCTAGTCTCTTCCATGGGCTATAATTTGGATGCTAAGCTTTGTAATCTTTTACTTAGGAAAACGTAAACCTTTTTGTGGCAAGAGCAAAACATGTTGTGATGTAACCCAGGGTGGGCAAAATGGCAGATCTGGATGGTGGATCCCTGCCTGGTGCGTGCAGGGAGCAGATCACAATCCAGACCACGATGTCACTGTTGCAGGATCCTGGTCCCGGAGCAGCTCCCCACCCAGCTGCGCACCCTGCCAGTGCTGCTGGGGCCAGTCTCCATGGAAACCCTGGCCCTGCCCTGCTGCTCCTGGGGTCTCCATGGAAACTGGCTGCTGCAATGTAGGCAGGGGCTGCTGGGAAATGAAGTCCACTGCGGGCCCAGTCTGGCCTATGAGCCAGACTTTGCCCACCCTGATGTAAACCTACTTCCAAAAGCATTGTACTCCACTTACCTGCCAGCTAAGTCCATGATTTGCTTAACTACCTAACACTTGCCCGTACCTGTATCTCACTTACTGCTTATGCTGTAATAAACTCCAGTTATTTGCGTGTTAATTAGATACATAAACTGGTTAAGTGTGTCACAACCCAGTGATTTTGGTGCCTCGGCACGATGGAATTTTCTTGCCACATGAGAGCTTCTTGCACAGCGAAGGTTTTTGCTGCACAGAAGAACCTCAGTGCAAGAGACTTCCCGCCAATTTGCAGGATGCATTTCTTCCTTGCAGCACAGAAATGCACGGTGCAAAGAGTTCCCGCTATTCGAATGCAAATTTGTGTCCCGCTATTGGCCAGTTCTAAATTATTCACACGTGGCAGCTAGTAATTGGCCTGCTAGCCGTTTAAAATTTTGTGCGACTTCCACCCAAGTCAAAGAACTTTGAGCACGCTGCAGAGTGCCTCTAAAGAGATCTGACTTGCAGCTAGCTGATCGAGAGACTGATCACCTATCGATCCTTCTTCCCGTCACCGAGCGCAATCCCAGACGTACCCTTTTCCCACCGGCTTGATTTGCGGACGGATTAACTGGCTTGGGCCTCGCCAGCTGGAACAACCCACGTGGTTGTTCAGACGACCGGACCATCTGCGTCGCAACTACAGGCGGCATAAGTAAACGTTTTTGCAACCATTAAACCTTGTCTGCCTCTCCATTCACCAGCCCGCCCTGACGAACAAGCAATTTCTAAATCACCTCGAGTCGGCTTTAGCTGTCCGAGACAAAGTGTATAGCATCTTTCAGTATCCCCGCTTTCTAACTACCGTAATCCTGTTCCAGGTAACTGCACATTAAGTGCGGTGTGTACTTTGCAACTAAATGAACTCTGTTTAAATTACCCCCCAAGATAGTGACTAGGAAGCAGCTTGTAAGTGAGGAGAGCTGGTCAGCTCAGGCTTTCTGCTTGTTTGGAGTATACTATACCTTAAAGGGTGACTGTTCCTCCTCTGCAGGAAACTTCTTTGTTGATGTGTAGTAAGGAACCTGCGTAGAGAGGACAGCATCCCAAGAATACTGACACATTTCACCTGCCTGCTGGGCTCTTGTTGTGTATGCACTGAATATAAAGCTGTGACCAAATCTGAAAAAAATTACCATAAACTAACCTGTTAGTCTACAGTTTTTTTCTTGAAGTAGGTCAGGTATGCACATTCCAGCTGAAGCATAACCGTTTGGCTTCTAAAAATCACATTCTTTTATCCTGTGCATATGACCTTTTAGGTGGAACTTAAAGGGTAAATATTATCCCCCATTATGTTTGTGTGAGATGATGCATGAAAAACTAATATGTCTTAATAAATTATGACCAGTACCTTGGGGCCAGTCATGCCTGCAGACTGTATTCTACATCTCTTG